GAGCATTGGACCTGGACATGTCCAGTCCAATGGTCCAATAGGTCCAATGGTCCAGTCCAATGGGAGTGCCAACTCTGGAAAAGGGGTTAAAGTCAGATGATTAGAAATTTTAATAATGAATTGAATTTCGATTTATTTATACCTTGGCAATCAGCCAATCAAATTTAAGCCCGCTATGCTCATTATCCCTTAAAGGAAATGAAATTTACGCCAAATTTGGCGTAGATTTTCGAGTTGGTGCAGACCCCACCAAACGGAAAATTACTATTTGACACCATTTTTTTTTTATTTATAATTAATTATTTTTTCTTCAGAAAATAAATAATGCACAAAAACATGTATTTGAAAAAAATCCAAAAATTTTTGTTTTTTTTGAAATTCACAATTAGAAAAAGTTGTTGTCCTATGATATCTGATCTAAAACCACAAAGTATGTGAAGATACTTGTTCTAATAAACAAGGTTACTTAGGGAGAAAAAATAAATTATAATACAGATATTTACTTTAATTTGTACTAAAAATTTCTTCCAAATTTGGACAAAATTCTTTAAATATTACAAAATTAATTATTATTGCTTTGATATTCTAGAAAACAATTTCTTTTTGAGCTTAAACATACATAAAGCAACATCACATAGAGTACAAAATACATGTGAACAATTATCATTAGTTGTAGCATTTATCCCTTCTTCTTGCCTTTCATATTTACAATACTCACATACAATTCTATTTTCTCTATATTCAGGAAATGATTTCCTGGTGTCAGTCTTTATAATTCACTATAATAGTATTTTTTAAATCATACCATTGAAATTTTGGATCAGGCAATATTAAAAAAATCATACAATACCAAATAATGTAACTAGTGGAGTTTGTATTACATGAATAAAATACCAAAAATTACATAAATAATAAATTTGTAAAAAATCGTAATTGTAAATCTACGTCAAATTTGGCGTAAATTTCCTTTAAGGGATAATATAGTGAAGATCACTATATTAATATGGGTAAAAACATTTTCAATTTATTCTTTTGAACAAACTTGGACTTTATTCCTCCATTTTTGATTTATATAAACAAAAAATTTTCTTATATTACAAGCATCAACAGTAAGTCTATGAAAACAATAATATAAAATAATTACATATTGATAATTATGTTCTTACATAGTAGTAATCATGGACCAACTAGACATGAAACAGTTTGTCATACAATGAACATATTCTGTTTGCTATATATTCAACAACAATTGTCACTCCTTGAACAATTGTTTCATAATGACCGTTTGAAATATTTGAAAAGCTGGAAAACTACCATTTCCAAATACCACTATCATTATTTGATTCACTCATATATTTCATCATAGATCTCTGTAGAATATACACAAGGTAGCCATCATTTTTATAAAAATCATTAGTGTTAAAATAAGCTTATGTACAGTGTGTGTTAAGAAAAAAATTGCATGGTAACCAAAATCCAGAATCATGATATTTAAACCTGTTTTTAAAATAATTATAAAGTTAAAAAATTTGGAAGCATGAAATTTTATATGCATAATCTTCAGAACTATCATTCTCTTTGATAGTTGAAATGAATTTCAATTTATATAAAAGAAAATATTTCCTTAAATTACTTTCTTATTTTCAATCAAGATCATCCATCTCTTAATCTTTTTAACCTTAATTTGAGCAATTAATTGACCAATTTTGTTGTTCTTTTAATCTCTTGTTTTCCTCTTCTAATTGGTTAATTTTTTCTTCTAAACTCTCTATCTTATCCAATAATTCCTGCTTTTGTCTTTTGTTTCACTCCTCTGATTTTTCTTGAAATTTGGCTAGTTCTTCCCTTTTGGTATTTAATTCTTCTTTGGTAGTTGATAATTCTTTTCTAGTTCTCTAGTTTTATTTTCTAGATGATAACTAAAGACTGAGCAATTAACTCTTCTGTAGTAAGAGGACTAGTAGACTTATTCATTGTTAAATGGTGACAATAACACTTATTCCTGTTTCTCTTTAATCTATCACATTCTTCACATCAAGAAAGAGCATTATTATTGTAATCTTTTTTACAATCCTTACAAATAAAGACTATATCAGCATTACTACCATCTTCTCCTAATGCCGCCATTTAATGAGTAGCAAGAGCAGTGTCAAGGTTAAGGAGAGTTGGATCATCATAATCTAAAGTACAATAATTACATTCTTGCTTATCCCCTTTTGCTAATTCCAAAACTCTGTATTTTAGTTTCATACTAACTACTTACTTTTCTGAACAATGAAAGTTTGGAATTTTTCCTTTCACTTTACAATCTATATTGCTTTTGTTTCTCTGGTAAAGCTGGTAATTCTTGGTTTTTATTTCTTCAATAATTTGTCTTCTGTTGTTCATTCAACAGACTCCTTTCTAACATGCTTATTTGATCCAAAAGCTTCTTTTCCCTTGTGTCATGCTTTTCAACTACTTCAACCATCTGTCATTTTCTCCACTTCATAGCTGTAATTAGTGCTTTTTCAGCTTCTTCTTGCTCCATTCATACCCCATCTTCTGATTCTTCTAACTTTATTTCTAATTCCTTCTGCTTAGTTTCTAACTCCTTAATTTGTTCAATCTTGCTTTCAATAATGTCTTTAATAATGATATCTTTGGTAGGTTTATCTCATAATATTTGTTAACTATTTCTTCAATGACTTTTTCTTGGTTTTTGTTATGTTCTTGAATATATCTCCTATACAAATATCTTGAAAATAAACTGATTTCTTAATAGTCTGCTAATTAATCTTGTTCAATATTCTTATTACAGTGAGGAAATCTCTCCCTCATTTCTACCAATATTTGGTGAATTCTTTCTGTTGCTTCTTGCTTAAATTCAGCTTCCTCTTCTTCACTTACTTCTCCTAGATTTTTTAATTCAGTAATCTCTTGCTCTTTATTGGATAATTGCTTTTTCAATGTTTCAATTTTGTTGATTATTTCTTTATTTGCTTGCTGTTTTTCTTTTAGGATGTTTGTCATGGTTTTTCTTCGTTTCTTTTTTATTTATTCTTTTAATATACTTATATCCTTAGTATGTTAAATATATAATTATTTTAGGATTTTACTTTAAATGTGGAGAAAGCTAACAATATTTGCCAAAAGATTAAATTTATTAATTTAAGTTACTAGAAAGAAGCCATGCTTGCTTGCTTCTTACAGATATTATGTGATAACCCCCAAACTCTGAGAAATTTGTTGTAAATTTCACATAACATATTGACCAATAATAATATTAATCATTGTTTTCTTTTTTACAATATGCCAAAAGGCAGATTACCTGAAGAAATATTAAATCATGGTAATCATTTGTTCTTCTTCACTATATGGATGATGCTAAATACTGTAATGTTGTACTCATATGTCAGAGTATTGGGAGAAATCTCCTTCCAAATAGGGAAATGGGATCACTTCTTCATTGAGAAAAACCCATCTGCAACAAGACACATGTCACATGGGGCATACTGCAACAAAACCAAACAAAGTGAACATTGGTGTTACCAAGGATTTCAGGGATCATAATATTTGTTTA